AACTCAATTTTGTTGTAGTGACAAGATATATTGAACTTTGTAATCTAATCTTGGAAAGCATGCCATAATTAGATCTTGTTGATGCTTCTGGTCATAAAGAGAAATACTTTGAAGTAGTCATGTAGAAACATAGGTTTGTTGTTAATTGTCAAATGTATTAATAAAAATACTTTTATAAAACAACATTTCTTAAACTTCAAAATAAATTTGACATAGAGAGTTCCATGGCCGACAGTGTACGTGTGCACATATTGTCAATTACGAATCACAATAGTCAAATCCAACAAAGATTGACTAGTTATTTTGCATTGAATGAAAACATGTGATACATATGCATTTACCGAACGAATACGAACGGAGGCTTGTTCATGTTCGTTCGTTTAACTTAACCGAACAAACGAACGAACACGAACGGTAAACGAACGAAAATCTTTGTGTTCGTGTTCGTTCGTTTAGAAATAAGGTGTGTTCGTGTTCGTTTATGTTCGTTCGTTAACATGCTAAATGAAAGGGCTAAACGAACATAAATAAATATTATTTGAATTCAAAGTAAATAATAAAATATTATATATCAAATTTAATATATAAACGAACATAAACGAACAAATATAAACGAACGGTAAATGAACGAACGTTCACGAACATAAATGAACGAATGGGCCTCTTGTTCATGTTCGTTCGTTTAACTAAACGAAAAAAAAATTGTTCATGTTCATTCATTTATTAAATAAACGAACATAAACGAATTTCCCGCCGAATGGTTCGCTGAACGTTCAGTTCGTTTACAACCCTATTTGTGGTTAGTTATGTTCGGAACTCAGTTGTCTAGGTGGTGTAGATGAAATTGTCGAATAATACAGGTTTTTCTTTTCTTTCTGTAACGTAAATAAACAATAATAATTGTATGATTAACTTAAAATATAGTAATATATTTTGATCTAATTTACTTTTAAAACCTTCATTTCGACATCTTATATGTGATATTTCAACATTTAAACAAAAGTATATGAAATAAAATAAGAATTAGAATAAAATACGTTGCATTTTTACACATTTTCATATGTAAATTAGGTATCTAAATATTTGAAATGTGGATTTGGAAACCATGATGGATAAAATTGGAATTTGAGCATAATATGTTAATTTTTTATATAATTTATCCTAAAATAAATGTGTATTAGATGTTGCTATTAATATATTATTTGATTTCTATAAATGAGGAAATGATAATGATAATTATAAAACAAGAGGTTGGTTATTATATAACCCATGACATTTGTGCAACCAATACAACTTAATCTCAACCGTCCATTTCATTTGATTTCATAGAAGTTTTAATTGTTTCCTAATATAAAGTATTGATCATAATTAATGAACCATATTCATCTTCTATAAATATTCAAATCATAATAAATGAACTCTCATCATTTCCATAAATATTTTAATTTATTAGGTTGCATTGGTTGTACAAATGCAACAGGTTGAATTTGAAACAAACTCTATAAAACAATTTAAATGATTATTTTTATTGACAATAATCATAATAAAAAATATGGAAATATTTAGTAATTAAAAATAGGCCATGATAGGAGAAATATCTTGCAAATAGCATTTTATGTATTTATAACGTTTTAGGTTTATGAAAATATAATGCAACACTACCATGACAAAATCATGGACAAATAGTCAACGATTCTAATGTTTTAATATAATATTTTATTTTAATCTGATTTCAAAATAATCGAAATTCAATGTATTCAAATTTAAGGGCGGACCGACATAGAAGGATACAGTGATACATACCAATGCTTCATGGTTCTATTATAATAGGAAGAAAAAAAAATATGTTTCTAAAGGGTATCATCGTATAGTTTTTGAAACTTATTTGACTACTCAAATAAAAGTCGGCATAAGTCAATAAAAAAGTATTTCCTTAATAAAAAGGCTAATTCACACGCAAAAGTATGATTAATTCAAAAACTCATCATTTCCATTATCCAAATGAAATCATGCTATTTATATCTTCAAAATGCCTTAGAATACAATAACGTGCATTATCCAAATGGTTTATAAAACTAAATACACTCAGAGTTCATTAACGTCAAATAATCTTCATTTATGTGATAAATCATCAAAATGACACACACTCTTATGATTTAATTATCAAAATGTCCAAAAAAAACCCAAAGGTAGACATTTTACAAGATTTATAAAATTAAATGTATCAAAAAAAAATCTCATCAAATAAACCACTCAATTGATAAACAATCAATAAAACCTCTTTAAGACGCCATTATTGGACATTTTTGGCATGTACATGTTTTTAGAAAGCAACTTGAACTTACTTTGCTAGATTTATCTAAATTTCATATTAACCCTTGAGATTCCTTTGGTGAAGACTTGAAATCCTCGAGTTACAATTCTAGATCTATGAAGCCCTCAAAAACACCTCATCTACTACCAAAACATATACAAACAGACCCAAGAGAAAGATGAGGGTTGGGGGTGAACATAACCAAACCCTAGATCTTACAAGAAAATGTTAGAAGGTTACCTTAAACAATCGACTCTTAAAATTGCCAATGAAGGCTTTTAATGACCTTTAAATCGAGCCAAAAGTCCCAAAAATAATCAGATCTAGAGAGGGAAAGGAATAGGAAAGAGTTGGGGAAGAAAAGATGAGAAAAACTCCAAAAAATCATAGCTTTTAGGGATGACGATGGTCCACGCGACAATTCGTCTGTGTTGCTCAGACCTTGCCTCACTCAGAGACCCACACGGCCTACGCCGTGACGCCACTATTTTTTGTTCCTGATTTGATCCTTTAAGGTTCCATTATAATAAATATGAAAACCTTAATATTTTAACTTTTGAATGACACTTAACAAAGTTCTAGAACATAAACGGACACTTCGAATACATGGGTGTTACAGCTGGTACCATTCATAAAGATTTTATGGAAATGGTTTTCTTATAAAATGAAAAAGAAGTATCAACGCTTAGAGAAAAACCTTGTTTTAATTATATGAAGTCTTTGAAAGATAATCATTCTTGATTCATAGTTCTTAGAAGATAAAGTGGCTTATATGAAGTTGTGGGACTCTTGACCTTTTTTGTCAACTTTTAATTAAATGATTTGATGATGAAATCATAGGGGATGGAAGCTATATGTTTTATTATAGTTGGTCATTTTAAAGTCATATGTAGTAGACTGTAATGAAAAGGATCCATAGATACAGGAGTCAACATGGTTTTGAAGTGGGATAGTATTCCCATCTTGTATCTAAAAACAGGCATCGGGGGATTTGTAGATATGGACTCCTAAAGCCAGACACTGACCCTTGACCATATGGTGTAATTTCCAACGAATGAGCATGTCTAAGATCATCAGGGATATTGGGCTATAGATCACAATTGGTTGAACTCGATGGCCATTGATCCTTGGTGACGCACAATAATATAGATTTGTGGCTTACTTTTGTGTTTTGCCACTATCAATGAAAAATCAAGTCTCCTCCGTCATCACAAGATGTCTTTTAACTTTATAAATCTTGTAAATGGAACTTTTAGATTGTTGGGCTGTGATAAAAGTTAGGTTATGTTTCTAATCCTTATTAACGTTGCTTTTCTTTTGAATTGTTTGAACTCATAAGCCGTTTCTAGCACTTTTTCCTTAAAATAACATGTATATCAGGTTTCTTAGGCAATGGGGCTAAGGATATATAAACAACAATCAACTTTTCGATAATGACACTATATAGTCGGTTAGCATTTTTGGAGCACATGTTAAGTGGTTTGTACACATAGAGCCTTTTGATGGTTGTAGTGACATCCAAATGTAATCTATTTTTAGAAATGATTTAGATTAGAATGTTATTGCCTATTAGCCTTTCTCTATTTTAGAAATGTAAGTATTTCACAATGTGATACTTTTTTATAGGGAAAAGTTCAAAAAAACCCAATGGACTTTACTGTTTGGAACGATTAAA